AGTGGGCCTAAGCTGACAGGCGGACATCCCCCACGGGGTCTTGGACTGTGAGAGGGCACAGGCCAGGCAGAGAATCCCCCCCCCCCCAGTGCACAAATTTTATGCACTGGGCCTTTAGTGAACATATATTTAAGAGCCACTGACAGATCATGAAATTGTCACAGAACTTGAAAATATTTGGGATCTATATTGTAACAATTACATATGCTATGACTATTTGACTTCAATTATGTTTGACAACCCTAATGCAATGCAGCCTTATTCACTATTTTATTCTATACTTACAGAGGCCGGGCTTCCCCGGCCCTCCACATGAGGGTAAGTCCCTCTGCTTAGTAGACATTTAGCACCGGTGCTTCTATTTTCCTAGCACTTTATCACAGTTGATTATAATTAATTTAATGACATGAAATTCTCCAAGGGTAAAAAAATGTGTGTATCTTGCTCAATATTGTGAGTTGAATTAATATATGAAGAATATAGTGTCTTATGAACTGGGATAGCCTAAAACACTAGGCTACAATGTTGGACAAAAACATCTTTAGGTTTCACTTTTATGGAAACATAGAGATAGTTTTGCCTTATACTTGAGGTAATAAGCACCCTATAACATTCTAGTAATAAAAAACATTAGAGAACAAAATAGAATTCCTGCCTTTTGTGTCACATTCGCCTTTCCACACTCACAGCCTCCCCCCCCCCCCCCCCCCCCCCCCCCCCCCACCCGCCCCCCCCCCCCCCCCCCCCGGTTCTCACAGTCTATAAAGTCTTAGAAGGTACCAGATGTTTGGAGGAGGCTGTCCCACACATCCTTTATTTTTATACTAGAAGCAAGATTTATTAGAGCTATATAAATGTAATTCCAGCCGTAATATGGCCCCTTGTTAAATAGAACAATTCTTACCCATGGAGGGTGGGCATCAGTGCCAAACACTAAAAATGACCACAGAATATTACTGAAACAACAAATTCTGCCCACAAACTGTTTCCCTCTAGGACATTTTAATTCACAGAAACATTTTTTCAAGAAAACCCTTTTGCAGCAGGCAACAATCAAACAGTAAGGCTGGAATAAGTTGTGTATGAATGTGCAGTAACACCTGGGGTAAGTGCCTAAGCAGAGACTGTCAACGCCTCAAATTGCATTTTCTCCTACTGCATAGCTTCTAATAGAACAGGCTAGAAACCACTCTTGTGTTCCTTTGGTGCTGCCTACCTCAGGGGCGCAGCAGCAGGCCCATTCTTTTGGGTGCAGCAAACTGAAGTGCAAATCCTTTGTACTGGGGAGTCCCACATGCTCCTAGAAAGTGGCTGCGCGTTCCTGGCAGAGGTGAACTGAGGCTTTTCAAATACTCTAAAATGGGTCTAACACCATCTTCTTCAAAGCTGTCAGCAACTTCTTTTTTAAAGTTCTTTGCATTAGAGGTAAAGAGTTATTCCTTTCCCTTCAGTGGTTTCCTGATAAGAATTTTGGGGGCACGATCTGTGTGCAGGGGATGGAGTTAAACTTCCTAAAGGAGGACGATTAAAATACAACCTTTACGAAATTGAACTCCATGCCCTGCACAGAGATAGTGCCCCCCACATTATTATGGAGTAACTATTGTAGGTAAAAGGAGTAACTCGTCACACATTCTTCCATTTAGTAGCCTATGTCACCTCAATAAATTTAATTTAAAAATAATAAAAATAAGTAATTAGAAAAGAAAAAGAATGCATTCCAAGTCGGTTCCTGATTGTGTTTCCAGGATGGAACCTCGAAAGGGAATGGAACACCACAGGGGTTTTTACTTGAACACTTCCGACATTTCATCTTATCAGTGAGTTGCCTTTCTTTAGACATAGTCCAGACACCCACTGAATTCCAAACAGTTACAAATGACTTTCAATTAGTTTGTGGCTTTGTGAAGTCAGGACAATGTGCCTCCAATTCGATTCCTGTTTTTATTGACGGTTGATTGCATGTCGCTGTTAACATTTTTTGATGAGCACAATAGTAAAAACAACCTATAAAATGTATAAAATGGCAAAAATGACTCATGCAATTGACAGCAAGAAGAGTGAAAGGTTTGATGAAATGGTGCTAGACGCCCAAGAGTGATGGCCTGCAGGTGCTAACCAAAGGGAGGGCTATTACTTATAACTTTTGTTGGAGCACTGATTTGCTCACTGTTCTTTGCTGCTGCATTCATGAACACTGCAACACTGTCATCTTGAATATATCTGTGCGGAAAACGGATTTGACACATTTGACTAATTTCTGTGATAAATTTGTGAAGCAATGCTTCACATCAGGACAAGTATTAGTAAGAACATATTTTGCTTCGTGAGTCTATGTTGGTGGTCAATTCTCAATGTCATAGCAAAATCTGAAGAAAGAAAACTGACAGCACTAATCAAATATCTCTAGCATTAATAAAGAAAACGAGATAGGGAAAAACTGGCTATGAATACATATTAATGTAGGACTAACCACTAGGTTTCCTTCTCATTAAAACACTTGGTGGGTTCCACTTTTAGTTTTTCAATCACATGGTTTTCCAGACTTTTAATTACACATCAAATTGGCATCTAGGAAACCTGATTGATTAAAAGTTTAAGGATTTGTTTTACATTGAAATACCCAACCAGCACTGAGAAAAAAAAAGCCAATTAAGAAGTCACTGTTGGTCTTACAAGTTAAAAAGTCCATATTATCATTCTTAATCATGTCTTGCTCTAAGTAACAAAATCCACATGTCCATTCCTGTCAATAAGTTGCAGGCTGACCAAAGACAATTTAACTGTGCTATGAATTAGGCAGTTTCAACCCAAACATCTGAATAGTCTTTACGACTCGAAACTGATGCTATAAAGTTTAGTCTGGTTTTTAAAATATGCAAACATTTTTAGATTTCTTGATGAGAGTACATTTTTATTAGCATTATTTGGGTAGAGTGTCTGCCAAAATTAATCTACATGAATATTTTAGAAGATCGAGTTTATTCTGATTATTTTTTTTATTCATACCCGCCTCCAACATCTTAGCAAAAAATGTCATTTCTGCATTAGAAGGGTACCTGAATGATTAACTTTTAAAAAAATCTCCCTAATTTTTCAACTTAAGTAACCCAAGATCATACAAGCAGACTTTGCCCTCCCACTGAAAGGCGAGAACAGCATGTCAATTTATTCTCTCCAAAATGATTTTTGAGATTTTTGTAGATGACTTCCATTTGAATCTACCCACTCTCAAATCTTTTTCATAAAACTTCAAACCCATTTTCTCTGGCCTTTCTAGGCCTAAGAGTGTGTTAGCCAATGGGTTTCACTGACGCAGCTGAATGCCTGTAACTTAAGCACATCTTTCTTTGCACAGGGGGCTTAGGTTGTTCTGTATCCCAACACGTCTTAGCTCTTTTCCTCTCCTGCTCAAATCTAAGGTGTCAGAAGACTCTCCTCATGCATTCTGGCTTAGAGGTTTGCATAAGTGATGAAGGCCCTCTGAGGCTGAGGAATGCCAGTGTTATTTGCACCACTCTGCTTGTCACTATGCAATTGCAGTAAATGCAATTGAAAGTGCTTTTATTTGAAGGCCATTTGACAGAGGGGAGAGAAAATACATTTACTCTTTCAAGGCCTGTGTATTTTCCTGGGAGAAGCCTGCCTGTGAAATGTGTCCTTTTATCCTTGGATAGCTAGTTGGGAAATACCTTTTGGCAGTGCAAAGCCCGAATGATTTCTGCAACTTAAGACATGAGCCATGATTCACAGCCCTTCCCCGAATCTTCCCCACCTCCTTTCCTCCCACCTTCTAAAGACTGGAAGGCTGATTCACGCTTGTGTGCTCGAAGTGTTCTTTTCCACAGAAAGAGGAAGGAAATTTGCATACTTTACCAACAATATTGAGCTATTTTCATCACAGATGTTTAAGGAAGGAGTTGTTTACTAATATTGAAACAGCACATAAATCACATAGAACAGCTTAGAACTGGTTCCGCTCCCTCAAAGCAGATGGGGATTAATACAGTGCTTGAGTTATTTTACAGAGGCAGCACTCACAGGGGCCACCCTGTCTTCTAGCTGCCCAGGGACCACAGTCTCGCCTCCCCCAGGAACCATGGGATGGGGACATGACCAGAACTTGAATACAGGACTCTTTCAGAGCAAAGGGTCTGCTGTCCAGGAAGATCCCGTGCAGACGTCTCCTACCATCAATGACCGAGTTCCAAGGTCCTCCCTTAAAAATCACCCCACCAGCGCTTCGCATACCTGTTCCCCCAACTCCTTAAACCTTTCCATCGTACATCGTCGGGGAGTTCAGGTATTAAGCCATAGGCTTCCCATTCTCCTAGCTTAGTGCTCTGCAAATAAAGCAATTGAATTTTCCCACTGCAAAACTCAGCACTCAGTGTTTGGACTTCGCATACCTGTTCCCCCTAACTCCTTAAACCCTTCCATCATACATTGTTGGGGAGTTCAGGTATTAAGCCATAGGCTTCCCGTTCTCCTAGCTTAGTGCTCTGCAAATAAAGCAATCGAATTTTCCCACTGCAAAACTCAGCACTCAGTGTTTGGCTCTGCTGTGTTGAGAGGGGCGGGGGGCAGGGGCAAAGGGATTGTAGGGAACAGTCTCCTCCTGTTCGGTTACAATATCTGTGTATCCGGGATTACGTTGTAATACAAACAAAAAGGACATAGTACTGTGGATTTCTTTTACGAGAATCTTTCCTAACGCTCACCAAAATTCTACTTTCATCTTCTCAGGGACATCAGCTAACTCAATACAGCTGCCTTGTGCCATCTTTAACAGGATCGTCCTTCACCATATGAAAGGGAGTCTTACTTTTCAGAATAAAACAAGAAGGAAAATGCAGAACGATGTTTATACTTTGCTAAATGCTGTTCCGTTTTGTGTTTTGTAAACATCCTCATAGTCTCCACAAGTCATTGCAACTTTGAACCTGCCATCAGACAGGTCCCCACATTTCTGTTTCTGGATGAGTTCAAATGCTCCTTACCTATAAACAGATTCCACTCGGTGTCCAGATCAGCCTGGTTTGCCAGACAGCCCTTCATGACATTGAGGCAGTAGTTGTTGCAGGGCCTCACGGTGGGGAGTCCTCGGCAGTATGGGCAATACAGCATCATCATGAGAGCACGGATGCACCCTGGGGTGGGGCTGACCTGTAGATGTATTAAAAAGAATAGGAAATCAGAAATAAGAAGGGTGTAAGGGAGGAAAAAAGATGTAATTCATTTCATACTTAAAAAAAAAAATCGGTGAAACGGTTCTGGTAAACCTCCAGCATTAGAGCAAAGGGTTAAAAGACCATCAGAATCTTAACCCTTTGTAATACTTGATCTTGAAGCCAGTAATTCTTGTTAAATACTTCTGTTCGGCATAGTAATAATCATTTTTCTTGAACATTTTGATATCTATGTCACTGTAACTCAGCCCTAAAAACCTAGACACTGTTTCATTGCAACAGAACATGAAATGAGATAATGCATGTGAAAGCAATTTACAAAGATAAAAGCCCCATAAAAATGTAGGTATTATTAAAGTTTAATGTGACACCTTTAGACAATTTTCCAACTGGTTATTTGACCCTGTCTCTAAAGGAGGCTGCCAGATAAACTTCCTTCGTACATAACTTTTTTAAAAGGATCGATATCAACTTGTCTGGGATTTCTGAGGTGCAGCCGGCTTAGAAGCAATGGAACTGCCCTGCTTCGGGCCTCTGAAGCTCGGCAGTTCTGAGATTCTGTGGGAGATGGATCCAGTGTTGAATGTGAGAAAACCTTGCAGTAATTCAGAGGAGCTACTAACCAACTGACAATGAGTGCTATTTGCCTTGAACAAGGAAACATCCTAAGTTAATCACTTATAAGCCAATGAGGCCCTTTTTAGCCTCATTGAAAAATTTGCTTTGACTTCAAGTGGAAAGAGTACTTAAAACAGTATGGATCACACACACACAAAAAATACTGAAAGCCCTTTTTCATGATTTAGACACAAACATTATTTTCACATTTATTTGGTTGGTTCCATATAATTTAGGTATTTAAATGAAGTAATTATATGTTGCAGTTCTTGTGTTCTGGATCTGAGAATAAGCCTAACTTGTATCACTTGGACCTCTTGGGGAGTTTCAGTCTTATCAAGTAAACTTGGATCTGCAGGTGACATTTACATCTCCAGAACATTCAGATGCTGACAAAGCATAACACCTCTATAAAGGTAGGGAAATAAAAGGTGTTTCTGCATAAATGGAAACTTTCAACAACTGCAGCTAATCTCTGCCATCTTATCCTTTTATCTAGAAACCACATTGGAAGTTCTCAGTGTAGAGATTTGGCTTTTGTAGCATTTTCTTGACTTTATGTTGTATTCAGACACAGTCCCCAATACATTATTTCAGGAAATGAAGAGTTTATTTATTTAATTAGGCACTGAAAGTTCTAATTACCCGTTTTTGTTTTGTATATTTTTTCCAAAACTTATGACAATTTTCTAACATATAGAAAAGTGAACACCCATATTCCCACTCCTGTACATTTAGTATTTCCTACAACTGCTTTTTCTGACATCTATCCATCCTTCTATTCACCCATTAATCCACCTTATTTCTTACTTCATAGTCATAGCCTTTTGATTTTTATTTTTCCTGGTAATTTAATGTTGGCTTTAATAAAGTAGAATTAACATGATTAACATGATAGAAAGTTAGTGCATTATGTACTCCAAATCAAATAAGCAAAGTAAAATATAAATAACCTTTCTTTATAAAAATACTAGAGGCCCGGTGCACAAAAATTTGTGCACTCGGGGGGGGGGGGGGCCGGTTGTGGCCCCGCCCCCTGTCACACACAGAGCTGCAGGGCGATCAGGGGGTTTGGGCGCTGCCCCCTGTCACGCTGATCCAGTGCCAGGAGGCCTCGCGGCTCCGCTGATCCCAGTGCTGGGAGGCATATTACCCTTTTACTATATAGGATAGAGGCCTGGGGGCCGGCTGGTTTGCCCTGAAGGGTGTCCTGGATCAGGGTGGGGGTCCCCACTGGGGTGCCTGGCCAGTCTGGGTGAGGGGCTGAGGGCTGCTTTCAGGCTGGCAATTGACTGAAGCTCCCAACCGCTCCTTGTTTTCTTTTTTTTATTCTGGGCCAGCTTTAGCTCTGGCTCTAGCTCTGAGGCTTCCGCTGCTATAATCGAAACAATGTATAACTCTAGCTCTGAGATCCCGGCTGGCTGAAAGCTGATTTCTGGGGTTTTGTTTAGCTACTACATTTGCAACATAGTACATAGTTTCTTAGAGTTGTAGCTCAGAGGCCGTCAAGTCAGGCGGGGGTTGGAGTCCGCAGTCACTGCAGCAAGCAAACCTCATGTTCGCTTCCAGCTGCCTGGCTGCCGGCCGCCATCTTGGCTGACAGTTAATTTGCATAAGGATATGCTGATTAGCCAATGGGAAGGGTAGCTCGTACGCCAATTACCATGTTTCTCTTTTATTAGTGTAGATTTAGAGAATGGTTTAATACCATTAATTCTAAAATTTATTTTCCCAACAATAAAACAAAAACAACAAGGGAGAACAAAAGTAAGAATTGTAATGACTTCTGAACACACATTAGTGTCACCATATCATCTTCAGATGGGTTATTTTGTTGAAAATGACAAACTTTATCCACAACTGAGTAGTATTGTTTTAAAAATTTATTTTATCTACATGTATTCCATGCCATTCACAGAAAATAGAGAAAATATTCTGTATTTTCCGTACCGAGTCAATGTGGAATTCCAAATTCTTACACATTTTACTTATTTGGCATGGTTTCAGTCCTAGAAACCTTTGTGCACAGGATTTGGTTTTCCACAGTCTTCCAATTTCTCTCTTGGCCCTGATGTCTTTCTCCAGAGACCTACCGATTTTCATGAGCTGCCTAAGTAATTTCTTCCTTTGACTGTTGGATTTTTGGCTTTCTTGACATTGGTATTATATAATGTTGTGCCTCTTCTCACTCAGAGTGCCAGAGTAAAATCTGGAGCAGTTGTCAATATTTGGGATGCAATGTCCTCATGGACATTGTGGACTCCGTTTCATCATTATAACCACACCACTCTGTAAGATATGCACATCATTACACGGTTTTATGATTATGACTTAGCTGCTCAATAAGAGCTTTTTGAATTGAACTCTCTATTGTGTTTCCCCAATTTCTTGGCCATGTTGATATTGAAAGGGGGGAAAAAAAGAACAAGATAGGTTTGTGCACCTAACATTCAATTGTTGTTGCTTTTTAACTTTGCTCTCAAAGGTTATTGATTGCATTAATTCAAAAGCTTTGCTTTTATATTTTTATTTTTTTTTATTGTGTTGGAACCAGTGCAATTTTCTCAGTCTGACATTTAAGAAGAGCCTCCAATCAGGGTAGCAAGCAACAGAAAATTGAACAGACTTAATAACCTAAAAGAACAATGTTGTTCAAGTTAAATGTGGCTCTCTCAGTACTTTTGGAAATGACATCCTTCCTGGTCAAATAAAGGGCATTTGAAGTAGAAAATGGAGAGTGGAGGATCAAAGTTGAAGCTTTAATGTTCACAGACCATAGTTGTTGTTTTTTTAATTGACACAGCTGCCTGCTTGGATTAAAATTTTAAAAAGTCATCACTTCAAAATTAAGACTTTTAGAAGTAAGTCTCTGAAAAGAAGGTTGTTTTAAATGCCAATTGTGTGAAGGGATATTTCTCTTTTTAAATGATTAATAGTTTTAAAATTATTCTATACCTGCTTTAAAATCTTTTTATTTTGAAATCAATATAGACTCACAAGAAGTTGCAAAAACAGTATAGTCCTGGGTACCCTTCCCTCACCTTCCCTCAATGGCAACGTCTCATATAGCTATAGTACAATATCACAATGAAGAAACTGAAACTGAAATTGGCACATTTCATGATTTTTTTCATCTTGCATTCCTCTGTGAATATATATAATGTATATGTATATATATGTATTCTAGTGTCTGTATATATATAGTGTGCATGTGTGTGTACACTTCTATGAAATTTTACTTGATAAATAGATTTTTCTAATGCCACCACAATTGACATACTGAACTTTTCCATTATCAGAAAAGGAATACCTTGTGCTACCTTCACCCACCCACCCCCTGTCCTGTCACCTGGCAATCTATTGCCACTGATCTCTTGTTCATCTCTATAATTTTGTCATTTCAAGAATGTTATTTAAATGGAATCATATAGTAGTATATAACCATTTTAGCTTTACTTTTTTTTTAACTGAGTATAATACCCAAGATGTCCATCCAAGTACCGCACGTATTAATGCTGAGTAGTATTCCAGGGTTTGGATGTATTAGAATTGGGGTGACTATTCACTCTTTGCTGTTAGGAATAGTACTTTTCTATTAGGAATAAAGCTTCTATTAGTATACATGCACAGGTTCTCCCATAAGCATAAGTATTCATTTCCTTGGGATAAATGCTTAGAAGTGCATTTGATGATCCAAATGGTTAGTGCATGTATAGTTTTATAAGAAATTCCCAGTCTATTTTCCAGGCTGGTTGTAGCATTTTACATTTCCACCAGCAATGTCTGAAGGATGCAGTTTTTCCCACATCATTGCCAGTATTTGGTCTTATAACTGTATTTTTTTTAATTTAGTTATTTTTATAGGTCTATTATCTACTTTTAAATTTATGGTGAGTTTCCTCTGAATAATATCCATACTTGTGTTCTAGCCTCAATGAATTCTAGTAAATATTAGATTGATAGTCATTAGCCAGCTGATCTCTGGAAAATACACAACACTAAAAAATATATACACTTCTGAAAGAGTAGATAAATCTGCAAACTTGGTAAAACCAAAATAAAGGAGACCTAAAAACTTACATTTCGAATTTAGAACAGACTACAGCTCAAACACATATTAGCACAAATCTGTACACTTGGTGGACTATTAGAAACAATTTTTCCACTGAAGAATATTGTGTTTACTTAGCAACAACAAAGAATACAATCATCTTGAGAAACAAAATGTTGAATTTTTTAAGTTGGTTATATGGATTTTTGACTAATATTTAAAATGTAGCTGTAGCTTCCTACATATTTAAAGTACACTGGGAAATAAACTTAAGTGAAAGGGTAAGTTGAGATGTTTAGAAAAGTAGT